TAGTTGAGCTCCTCGGGTATTGCATGAGGTTAGTAACAATGGAAGATTTACTCAGGAGCCATGGCGGCGATGCGCTGTTTGTAGCTAATTGAAGGTGAGTAGTGAGATCAATTTCTTTTGCTAGATTGAAACATCTCATTATTACCGATTCGATGCTGAAACTGCGTTTGTAGTTGACCGCCTTTTTTATAGTTCCGTTCAAAATTTTGTTCTTACAGTTTAGCAGTTTAGGAAAAAGTCGGATGTAGTTTTGTAACACCCTCTCCTCAATTGAAGGAAATCCGGCTTCTGTAAGAAAAGAACTTGTAGGTGACGTTGGAAATGCACGAAGATTTCTGCGAATGGCCATATGATAGGGACCGGATATAARCTTGATGTTACTTTTGGCACAATTACCGTAAACTGGAAGACCGCAGTCAATTTTTGATAATATAATAGATTTAGTGATATTTACGAGGGTGGTACTATGACTAAAACTATGTTTGGATGATAGATACTTTACAATATTCAAACGATAAATTAAACAGTTTCTAATATAGTTACAGTACACTTTCAATGTAGCGCAGCTTTGTAAACAACATTTTTTGGTTTCTTTTCTGGGGCGTAAATGTAYAGAGGAGATAGTTTTCTAATTGTGAACACGCCTAGTATAGCTGACCGTGTGAAAAACGTGGCATTTCCAGATTTATTCCACACATTTCTAGCGACTATTCTTGTGAACTGAAATGGCAAATCGTTGGAACTCAAAGGAATTCGCAGAATCAAGCATTCAGCCCAATTGTATTCGATAGCTGCGTCACAATCAGTCGAGTTTCATTACACAGTTTCGGCGCATAAAGATTGCGAAACATAATAATGACAGGTCCAACTTTGAGACGCTAAGCCTCTCCAAAGGATTTAGAAATTCCAGTTTATAATTCACGGCTTCGTCTTCATTGTCGATCGATTTGTATGAAACCTCTGGGATTTGACTTTGAATCTTTCATTTTAAGTCATTAACATCGGTATTTTTGGAGGCTACAATTGCGATTGCTTTCAAGCAATCTGGATAAGCACTCGTGATGAGTTTATCTTTCGTTCAAGTGAATTGACAAAAGGCAGATGGAATTGATATCAAACCACTGGAAGTATCAACCGAAAATTTCTCATTTCCAGTTCGTGTATTTATTGTCAGACATGCAAACCGAAGTAGGATATCGGAGTCCGCAAGCTCCATGAACCCTATTGGTTTTCATCACTTCGTATAATACTGGATCTTTCTCTGCATCAGGAATTTCCGCTGAAATGATTTCATCAATTTGATTTGTTGTAACCACCATCCACCATCGAAAGAAGAATGTGTGCGTGTGGCAAATTTCTCTTTTGTCACTCAACAGAGAACATCTGGAATCTAACAGCACCACATATACGTTGCTTCAAGGTAAAGTCCATCAAACATCGTAACTGTTGTTTGAAAAGTCGTGCTGTGACATCGTAACGATCGCTTGCTGAAACTGCGATCCATAATTCCACACGTATTTCGTCGCGTTCTGCGAGTACTCGTGCATGTGCTTTGAGTTGCCAATATTAGCGCGATCTCCTCGTGACATCGTAACAAATTTAATCTGTAATTGATCACTTTGTATGAAACACACATAAAGTTTTCACTGATCAATTTTCAATAATTTAATTTTTCAATAGCCGAAATAAAGAAAGGAACCGACCTAAAATGACAAAAAATTTAGAAATAAATCAATTGAAAAAAAAATTAAAAAAAAGAATTTGTACAGAAAAAGTCACTTTTTAGAAATTTCCAATTTTCCGACTTTTCCGAATGAAAAGTATAAGTTATTTTTAATTTCTAAACCTTCCCAGATCCATAACGAATAATCTCTAAAAATTGCATTAAGATTGGTTCAGAAGTTTATATACAATCGTTTGYATGGGAAAAAGAAAAGGGCGGGTTTTAGAGTATTTCTGGCAATTATTAGAATTTTACTCGCAGAAAAACCATTCTTGAACTTCAACAAATATTAAAAAAAAAAAAAGAATTGGCCAAATTGGTCTTGGCGTTGTTGAGTTAAGCGCTTAGCAACACATTTTGCGATTCATTATATTATAGGTAGTAAAATTCACAACAATGAATGAAAGCTTGTTGAAAATAATAAAAAAGTGATGCTTTAAAAAGAGAGGCTTGGCTTTTCTTTGGACTTATATTTTCGGCAATCMTGCGTACATATGTATATTTACATATGTGCATATATATTGTTATATTTTTTTGATAGTTACATACATATAACAAGTGAGTAAAAAAAATTAAAATATTGTAATAGTTCGCCGGCAGCTGTCATCATATCAATTTGTGTTTCGCATAAAAGCGCAGTCGTATTTTTTGTTACGTATATTTGGAATTGGTTTGCCAAAAAATATTTTAATTGGCGACGTAAACATTTGTCTATTTTAAGTTAAACTTGCCGCCACCATGTGGTGATTAGCATCAGGCAATTTTTTTGTAGCTTTGTGAATATGGCAGCCAATGGCAACTAGTATTTGCCGCCTGGCTCTGTGTAAATGACCGATTTCTGTATTCTTCCATATTTGTTCACTAGAACTTCACAGGCCTTATCTCTGCCTAATACTTCGGCTTGGCAGATGCTAGTTGAGTTTGGTAGMTGGAAAGTAAATTAAATAGTAAGAAGCTGCGAATTGTTTGTTATATTTTCTTCCTGTTGACTTAGTAAGCAGACTGTTGTGCTCTAGTTGCAGCTTATTCTGACTACCAGAGAAGAGCATCTAATGAATGCTCAAGTAATTCTTCGGTTCAATCACTTTCTTCTGCTTTAAATACTCCAATATTGGTATGTTATATGAACAGAATCTTGCTCAGTCTGGTAGATTCTTTACAGCTTTCTATTGATAATCAGAAATACTGTGAAGAGGTGGTTAACATTTTTCAATCTTCCCACCTTTGCATCCGGTTCTTGAAAATTCCGGRTGATAATGGCATTTTCACTTCCTCCTACCCCGGGAATACCTTTATTTCTAAACATAATATTATATATTTTTAGGGTGACTCACCTTTGACCATTGAAACAAAAAAAAAAAAATCAGCTACACTTGGAAGATTTTGTCTAGGTTAATTATTGTGTCTGTGACCAAGTGACCTTGTATGGTGCTGATGGCTATGTCACCCTCATTCGTGAAGTTGTCCTTGTGTACACCGGAGCCGATTTTGTTGTCAGCTTTTGATAGAGCTTGTATTTACTTTCAGCAGATGGCCTCTAGGGTCGGCCTGCTTGTTTTATTTGCCTTCTTGCACGTAAAGAGCTGCTGTTGGAGGTCTCTTGCTCTTGTAGAAGAAGCAATCAAATACGAGTACGATGTCTCTTTGTGGTGTTTTTAGTGGCTAACACCTTCAGCTTAACGGCTTCCAAGACGTCGCTAATTTCAGCAACAATCACTGCTGGGAAGTCCTGGTTAGCGCATTTTATGAMTAAAAGTTGAYCTCATCGTTGAATTTTCATGCTACYGTACTGAGCTCGTCTTCACTTTGCTTTAGCTTTTTTGTCAGGGTATCGAACTATATATTGTGGGAGTGGATCATCTTTTAACCTCTTGATTCAATGACTTTCTTAGAAGTTTCCGATGCTTTACCTTTCAGGAAACTTTCGTATTCTTTTACTCTTTTTTTTAGGTGCTTTTTCTCTTTAACATCAACCGAGGTCCCAGCAGCTTGATCTTTAGCTATCATTCCGAATACGAAGACTGCCTTATGATAGCCGATTTTTCTTAGTTTATTTTGAGATTTTTACACTGTTTGCGCTGTACCTCAGCTTTGGCAGTCAGTGTACCCTAGTTGGTACTCATGGGTGCCTTGCGGGTGGATGATTCCATATTTAGGATTTATTATAGGGACGTCTTCGACTTTTCCTTTCAAGTGTTCCACGACTTCATGTGTTAATGTCAATTTCAAGATATCGCCATAGATTTTAGATACCGTCAATGTTAACTTGTGTCGTTCTGAGACTCTAATTCGTGTAATATATGGTCTACATATGATAAGAACTGAATTCTAGTATGTTATTTTAYATAAGTGTGTTTTTCTACATTATTYTCTATCCKTTCTTGTGTAAATTAATAAAATAACAAAGGAATTTAAGAAACGACACAAAAGCATGTTATGTGTACTTGATATTCTCTCATAGAGAGCGGTGTTATACTTTTGAGGTTATATGAAAATACGAAGTAGATGTATTATATGTATTTACTATTATACACATTTGGGGCTAATTTTCAGACRTCTTTGTGAGCGGTGAAAAAGAAAATGTTACTATTTTTTTATCACWAACTTTTCTTTTTGCTATCACTTCAGTCTTTAATTTCGCGTCCCGCAAAGAGTATTAAAAATTCAATGATAAAATATTTTGATTGTTGTTTTCTGGCTTCACTTTGGAYAAATAGCATTTCGGTTAGGTATTCAGCGAACGGATATTGTTAAATTCAATCAAGTCGTTGCCCGCAAATTCTGGGTTTTCATCTCGCTGAATTTATTTCCTTCTGTGAATTCAAACTTTACCATAAAGAGAATATATAACGCAAGCAGCAAACTTGAACTTGACTGATGTGCTTTTATTTATATACATATACATATATACACATACAAATATACATGCACATATGTATATATATATACACACACAAGTTCATTTAAATTTTATACYCCACAAAAGTGCGAAAATCTGTCGAAAAGTTCATTTCATGTTGTGGCGCTGGCTGTGAACGCTAACGTTTGTATGTATATGAGTATGTGTATAAATAAAAAAAATAGGACACATACTTGTGTACATACGCCAGTAGCTAGTGTGCGGCCGAAATGCCTTTCGCCACTTTCTTTCTGTCTGGCCCCTTTTCGACCATAAACCCCGAATATATTTTTTTTCACAATATTGTATTTCAACATTTCGCCTTTTTATTAATTCACTTTGTTTGTATTTTCTTTTTCTTTTCGCCTATATTTACAGCTTTGATGTGCGCGATAAAGTGAATAACGACCAACCGCGGCATTGGTCAGCGCCGGAGGTGTTCGGTTCTCGTGCCAAATTTCACTTCGATTCGCAGCCGGCAACATTGGAAATTAAGGTAGGTTGGTTGGCCAGTAGGCTGACGCACGGAAGTGGCTTGTCACTTTTTTAAATAAATGAGTGATAATAAATATATATTCTGCCAAGCCGAGTGCCGAATGTGCGAAAACACATTGCCGAAATGAGTGCACGAAGTCGTCGTTGACAGAGCGGCGAATGGAGGTTGGCAGGCGGCGATTGCACAGTTAGGTATTTGCGAACGAGTTATGGCACTACACATATAGCGGCTTATGTGGGGCGCTTTCATACGGCCACAGTAAACTCGCACTACATCTGGTCGAGACCATTGGATTGGCGGTGGTGTAGTGAAAGTGAAATATGTTCGGTAATTTTGTTGTTTTCGCGGTTAATTTTGAAAATCGAAATAAAACGCCCCCAAGCAGGGATTAAGCTGTGCGCTTTTAATGTGTCTGCATGCACATACACACAGAGAGGACTGTTAATATTTGTATTTCCCTATAGGGGTCTTTTGGGTGATTAAAACACGCGCACTCGCGAAAGTGCTTACAAATTGCCGCTGCTAAGGGGGGAGACAAGTGATTTCAAGTGTCACGGCGTCCAATGAAATATGCGCGACATGCAGAAATAATTGCCTTTAATCTTGATTATTTATTAAGCGTACAACTTTGGCGGCGCGCGGATATGGCAACGCTTAAAAAATCTTTACTATGACTAAGGCGCTATGTGGAGGTGGTTTTAAATTCCATTCGGATTTAAAGGACATCCGCATTTGCACCCAGCCGTGGCAAGTACTAGTTAAAACTGCTTTAAAGTGAAATTCGACGAATGTTTGCCCAATAAAGTGTTACCTTAGTGAAAGGGCACCGCTCTAATTGAGACATACTTCAGTCAAATATTTAGAAGACTTTTGAAAATTGCGTTGCGGCGTTGATTAAGATTCGTATTTTTGACAGTGTAATTAGTGTGCATCACTGTAGACAATAAACTGTAACTTTGAAGTATTCAAGCATTTAGGCAACCCAGCTGTCCATTCCACGAGGTCAATTGCCTCTAATGCTCACGAAGTCACTGCAATTGTTCATCCCAAATGAAGACAGGTTACTATGCACTTAGTTCTTCTGTTGGATGTGCGGGTCCCTTGATTCCGTTGTTCAGCGGTGGGCGTCAAATAGAAGTAGCTTTTCGCTGGAGCATCATATTCCATGCAAATGACACGGTCTAAGCTGCAGTTGGATTTTCATACACTTAACTAAATCTATGTTGCACGAAACATATCAAAGAGTTCGTAGTTAATTTTTCTTAGATATTCTTTGCTCACGCGGGCGGATCCAAAGGACTTACGAATAACAGCCCCTCTTAGAGGCTTTTATTATTTTAATTTTAATATAAAACATTCCAAATTGCATATCATAATAAGGGAAGTAGATTTGGATTAGGTCGCAGTTTTACATAGCTTCATACTTCTTGACCTACTACTATATTCCTACTAGGCTTAATACAATACAAATAATTTTGACTCTTCTTACGACTGCGCCAAAATGGGGGAAATCCGATGAAAATCCCGGTCCTACCCATAAATCAAGATATGATGAAGTTAGATAACTCAATAACTAAACACGTCATAGATATCCAAGATGGTATAAGAGGGCTTTTTAGAAGCCGGGGACTACTAAGTCAATTTCAATTAAATTCGGCACATAACCATTTTGTAACATTTTTGTATAACAGGGTGAAAATAAATGATGCCTTTAGGATATGCCCTCTCAAGTCAAGAAATTGTCAAAATAGAATCAGAACTGAGCAAGCCCTCAGATACCGAAAACGAAGAACACAGTGTCTATTGCTGACTTTTTACTAAAAATATGAGCCAAACGAGTTAGATTTATGATTAAAATTCAGAGGAAACCCTTTACTGTTAAGAATATATGCATGGATTTCTCTTAGCTATGGGGATTATGAACTTTCGGCTAACTTTATATCGCATATACATATGGGATAACGGGTGAGTTACCTTAAAACAATTAAGTTAGTGATAAAATAGATAAAATTGGGTGAAAACTTGCCCTAGTCTCAATTTAACTAATATCRGGAYTTTCAAATATCAGTTTGACTTTACTTCATATTATATACTGGTGATGGTATACGTGGTACCTTACTTGAATTCAATGGGCACTTTGTTCCGTTAATCTTATGAGATCGAAATTACCACTATCTTCTAATACACATATTCGATTTTCGAACTTCTCATTGTCCTTATACCATATCTTTCAGGAAAAAAAGATATCTTAGCAAAAATAACTGAACGTATAATATTGGATATACTAGAGTTTAATGTGAATTTAGCCACGAATTACCCCAACTCATAAATACTAAATCTTTATATTGACTTTCTTTATTCTAACAAATTTTATGCCGATCATATCGTTCGCTGTGTAAGTTATATATTTAGAAAATATGTCCTCAAGTGGGTCTCAGCTATATTCCATCCCTATCCCTGTCCCCAAATAAATAGTCTATAATATTTTTCGACCTTCCATCTAACAGTATATGGACTTCTTCACTAAAATTAATTTCTAAAAAAATTATATGGGAACTTAATCATTCCTTACTTATTATTTGTAAGAATTCAWAGTTAATAAACCTTTCTGCACTATTCAATATAATTGAACAGAAAAAATAAAACATTTATTTTTAGGCGTTTATATTTATTATTATGTTCAGCTTGCTACTCATCTTGGAATAATTCAATAATTTAAAATAAAGTAAAAATTTGTAACGGGTGAAAACCTTTGTCTCAGTTTCCATCCAAGCATATCTTGGGCTCATATATGTTTTATTAAATATTAATATCTTAAACAGTGTCATGTAGTTTGTATGGAATGAAACGTCGGAGTTCCAGTAAAGTATATAGAATATATGTAGGATGATCACCGTAAAGATCTGAGTGCTTTTAACCTTGCCCGTCTGCCTATTCCTCTGTCTGTATATATGCGAATAAGTCCCTCAGTGTTTGAGCTTTAGTTCAAAATTTTCGGCTGATATCGGTTCCTATAGTGTATATGTAGTTGTCCTTGATTGTTGAAGTAAAGAAAGGGCGACCCTTTGTACCAATAACGACACCTCTGTAATATTATATGCTGAATTAAGGAATAAATATGTCCTCCCTCTTCCGGTTTGTATTTCATGCAAAGCAGGTTGTTTTATTCCACTTTGTAAAATATATATGACAACTCTAACACTGACCGCTAAAAACCAAGATAAAGATCTTTTTATACCCTTTTGTGTAAAAAATTAACCTTTTAAGGCCATTGTATCTTTGGAGCAGCCCAATTTTTTATTTATTGTGGAGGAGGATCAAAACATATGTTAAAACCAGCCCAGTTATAATTGAGCCACACTAAATAGCAGAAAATTTATTGCTTAATTGCAGACATTTGTTAGGTTCTTCTTCTTCTAAATCTTTCGCAGAACTTTTCTCTCAAAAACTCGCAACGTAGACTCACTTGCTTCCTTGTCTAGTCTGGAGAAAGCAGAACTAACGGCGCGAGTGTTGAGGCCAATGATATCAATATCATCGGCATACGCCAGCAGCTGTACACTCTTGTAGAAGATTGTACCTTCTCTATTTAGTTCTGCAGTTATAATTATTTTCTCCAGAAGCTCGTTTGGTATCGAACGGCTCGGAGGGGTCCTTCCCTATTCTGACGGAGCTTTTGCGGGGATACCAAATTCAGATATCGCGGGATAAAGGCAGCTCCTTTTCGTGCTGTCGAAAGCAGCTCTGAAATCGACGAAGAGGTGGTGAGTGTCGAGTTCCCTTTCACGGGTTTTTTCCAAGATTTGGCGCATGATGAATATCTGGTCGGTTGTTGATTTTCCAGGCCTGAAGCCACACTGATAAGGTCCAATCAGTTTGTTGACGGTGGGCTTTAATCTTTCACACAATACGCTCGATAAAACCTTATATGCAATGTTGAGGAGGCTTATCCCACGGTAGTTGGCGCAGATTGTAGGGGTCTCCTTTTCTGAGTATTGGGCATAGCACACATAAATTCCAATCGTTGGGCATGCTTTCGTCCGACCATATTTTACAAATAAGCTGATGCGTACTCCCTATCAGTTCTCACAGTCGTGTTTGAATAGCTCGCCCGGCAATCCATCGGTCCCCGCCGCTTTGTTGTCCTTCAGGCGGGTAATTGCTATTCGAACTTCTTCCTAGTCGGATTGGAGAATCGGGTTTGCTTTCTCCAGGCGTTGTGCGTTGACTGTCATTCAGCAGGCTGGAGAAGTGTACCCTCCATAATTTAAGTATGCTCTGGGCATCGGTGACTACATCAGCTTTGGGGGTTCTACAAGAATATGCTCCGGTCTTGGAACCTTCTGAAAGCCGCCGCAGTTTTTCGTAGAATTTTCGATAATTACCCCTGTCAGCCAGCTTATCAAGCTCTTCGTACTCACGCATTTCGGCCTCTTTCTTTTTCTGTCTGTAAATGCGTCTCGCTTCCCTCTTCAATTCTCGGTATCTATCCCATTCCGCACGTGTTGTTATCGATCGTAACGTTGTGAGGCAGGCAGCCTGTCTTCTCTCCGCTGCGCCACGGCACTCCTCGTCGTACCAGCTGTTCTTTTGCACTTTCCGAAAACCAATGGTTTCTGTTGCAGCTGTACGTGTTGGGTTAGATGAGAATAAAAGGTTCTTATTATGAAAAAAGTTAATGCAGATTTCACTTTGACAATGATTGTGGTACATAAAGATCATGCATATATCAATTTAACTATATTGCCAGGTCCGCCAATATTATGACTGCCGAGATGTTTCAACTTCATACAAAAGCTGGACAATAGAAAAGAAATGCATGGATGTTTCAATTCCATCATACTCCATATAACATCGTAAGTTTGCGTAAGGCAAGATTTTAAACCCTTCCTTATATACGCCTATTGCACAATGCCCAATTAGAACTTCTAAAATTATTTAGAGCAGGTAGCTCAGTCGATCTACTGCGTTCTATTCTAGGCCAGAAGTACCTCATAGTC